CAAATTTATCTTCATGATCGGGATCTATTGTCTGGATGAAAAGCTTCCACTCAGGATAGTTGCCGGCTGCAATGGAGTCATAGAGATCCTGAGTGGCATGGCTGTGATTAGATCCTCCAACCTTGACTGCCTCTTCTTCTAGCAAGCATTTAACCCCACAAGTGGGCTTCCAGTGGAATTTCACATAGTGTGCTTTCCCAGCCTTGCTGATCAGAGTATAGGTGTTTACACCAGAACCTTCCATATGTCTGTAATCTTGTGGAACACCCAAGTCATCAAAGAGGAAAGTGAACATGTGCAAGCTCTCTGGATGATGTGAGAAGAAATCAAGGATCCTCCAATTCTCCTGGATGTGAGACTTGGGGTTGGGCTTAAGTGCATGGACCATATCAGGAAATTTCATTCCATCACGAATAAAAAACACTGGGAAGTTGTTTCCAACAAGATCAAAATTACCCTGTGATCATATAAAAACAGACCAGCAAGTTGTAAAACAAATCATATTTCAACGAAGTAATGCATAATAAACTCGGGACTGTATTCACAAACTAAGCCTTAAAGCAATGAAGATAATTATAAAATGAAATATATTAGAAAATCTTCAAAGAATGTCTTATCTAATTTAACCAAGTTACAAGCGCTCTAAAATTCTTTTCCTCTAGAAAACACAATACGCCAAACGTGTCCTTTAGATTGCTAACCAGATTAGTAACAGAAAGGAGGTGGCAGGTGAACTCTTACCTCTCGGGTGTAAAACTTCACCGCAAAACCACGAGGATCCCTCAGGGTTTCAGGACTTCCACGCTCATGGATGACAGTTGAGAAACGTACAATTACAGGGGTCTGAACTCCAGGGGATCGCAGAAAATCTGCGCATGTAAGGTGAGAAATGTCATGGGTGACCTCAAAGAAACCCTTTGCACTGGCTCCCCTAGCATGGACAACACGTTCTGGAATCCGCTCTCTGTCAAAGTTGGCTAGCTTTTCCACCAGATGATAGTCCTCGAGGAGGATTGGACCTGTCAAAGAAGAAGTGTAGGGTCCATATAGTTAACACCGTGTACTCGATAAAACTTTATCCCTACAAAGTGTTTCAACATAGTCTTCGTGTTTTCTAATTGATTGACAACAATCTTAACTGAAAACCTCAATGAAAGTACTATATCAGTGATAATGACCATATGATCAAATAGGAATAACATAAGCACACCAAAAGAGTGGGGATGCTGATGCTGATTATTGAAGATTTCTCAGCTAAAAAATTATTACTAAGAGTCTAACGGTCTAGATCATTAATCTTCTCATAGTAATAAACAAAGGGAAAAATACCTCTGGGTCCAACCGTGAATGATGAGTTGTTGTTCCAAACTGGAGCACCAGAATTGGTTGTCCAGAATGGGGAATTGAAAGCACTTGAAGGACGGTGCTGCATCATCCAATTCAGAACAACAATAAAATAATGATTACTCACTAAAGACAATTATTGCAGAGAAAAAAAAGGAAAGATACTGAAATGGGCAAAAAAAAAAGTTTACTTGATTCATCAAATGACAAAAGATTGTTATCTCAAAGAAGGTTATTTAAAACGGTTAGCACTTTGTTCTTGAAAGTAAAATAAAATTCATGATCCCTCGTCTAATTCTAATAACTCCAGCTCAGAAACAAATCTTGAAGAATCCATTAGTAAGCAAGCAACAGTTTGATTCAAAGAAAGCAACAAAGATCAAATTCGGAGCACATCATATTCGACATGATTAAAAGAAGTCGATACTTCATATATAAATAGAGAGAAATTAAATCTTGCGAACGATTAAAAATTAAAATCATAGATTCATACATAAGAGAGAGAGTACCTTGTATGGATCCATAAGCAAAGGTAGAGCGGGTAAAGGAGATTTAGGGATAGAAGCTTGGAACTGAAGTGAAGGACGGTGTGGTGGTTTAAACGGAGAAGTAGAAGTTCGATCGGTGATTAAAGTTTTATAGTGTCTTTTATAATAATGTCAACGCAACTGGATAGGGATGATAGCGGGTAGAGAAGATTAGGATGTAGGTTGATTCATAATATTTAAATTCGTATATTACACAAATAATCTTCCTATTATCAAATATTATTTTATTATATATTTTACTATTAAAAAATATTAAATGTAAGAAGTTATTTTGTTGATTTATTTTTTTATTAATTTATAATAATTATAATATAATATTTATTTTAAATATTTTTAATTATTTAATAATAAAAGTTCAAATAATTTTTATAATTTCCAGTAATTTAGGACCTCTAGAATATAACTATTATTTATATAATTTAATTAATTTATATTGTTAGCAATGACATATTCTTAAATATCTTTTAACATTAATATATATTTATTATTAATAATAAAATAATATGTAATGAGTACAAAGAAAATTTAAGACATTAATAAAATATATAATTAATATAAAAAATTTAAATTTTAAGGACACGGATCCACTCTAAAACTCATACTTGTCACTAATTACTAATTATTTTAATATAGATAATAATTTTTTAAATTTTATAAATTATATTATTATATATACTTAATATATTATTCATCTTTAATTAAATCCGTCTCTTATTAAATTTTTGTCAAATTTTTAAATATGACAAATTATTATTTATTTTTCTTTTTCTCATATGGTATAGATTAAAGCGCACCAAACAAATTTCAAAATAGTAACGAGGAGTGATTTTCCTTTCCAATAATCATTGGCCTAGTTTAACATGTTCGCCCATGGTAAAGTTGGAGTGCTTAGGTCGAATAGGTTCAGGATGACCTTCCATAGAGAAACTCCCAAGGAGCATTCACTGAACAGATGATCTATAGTCTCCTTAACTTCATTGCATATTATACATGTGCCATCAGTAATTATTCTCATTCTAAGAAGCCTCTCCTTAGTTGAGAGCCTATTAAGAAGTGTCATCCATGTAATCATGTTGTGGTTGAGAATGTGAAGAGGAAACCTTATCAATTTGTGTTATGTGACTTTTTCTCCTTTCACCCGGAGTTCTTTCCAGACATCTTTTGTTGTAGTTGCTCTTGTAGATAAAATTGAGATGGCAACTAACATTTGTTTCATTATACTTCGGATACACCAGCTATAATTTTTCACATCTTCCATCAACAAAAAGTCTTTATCCTTAATAACATTGTTTTTAATCCAAGCTACCCACACTGATCCATCTCCATCAAGGATGTTCCGGATAAGTTGAATCATACATGTTTTGTTCCATGTTCTAGTATCTTTTAGTCCTAGTCCTCCTTCAGATTTCGATTGACAATTTTTATGTCAACTAACTTTGATTTCTGTGACGATCTTATTTATATATTTAAAAAAAAATTAGAATAAAGTTGTTCAATCCTTTTAATCATGGCTTGAGACAGAATTAACTGCCTGCACCAATAATTTGCTATATTGAAGAGAACAACTCGGATGAGTTTTAATTTGCCTGCATAGCTCAAGTGTTTTCCCGACCTGGTGAAGCTTTGAGTTGGAGAAGATTGGGTCCAGAGCTGACATCATGATTTCTTTTATGACAAAGAAGTGTGTGAAAATAATATAATAATAAAATATACATGTATAACTTGACAGCTTTGTCTCGGTTCCTTGATGCTTATCCAAGCATTTGGTTTGGATTTTTGACCAAGATTAGAGATCCAAAACGTAATCCCATTTATGTAAGGGGCGACGTGTACCACCGATGTAATGACACGTATGAAATTAAGTCCTTGAGACGTGTGCCCTCTATTTATACCTGAATTAATAGTGGAAGATAAGCGGCAATGTTTTTGATTTTGTTATTATTATTTTTATATAATTGGTAAAATATCATTGAAAAAATTATTATTTTTATTGATTTTAGTATTATTGGAAGTTTTATCGGGTTTGATAATATATTCGGTAAAAAATAATATTATAGGTAGCATTTTATCGGATATATTATCAAATTCGGTAAAGTACTCAATAATATTTTGAGTAGAAATAATAATATTTTTGGTAATTTTTATCGATTTTGTTAAAAAAATAATAAAATCGATAGCATATTTCCTTAATTATATATTAAGAATATCGTACTATAGAATTTCACGTGAAAGATTGTATCCATTTTGGTGCTTATTATGAGTAAGATTAAATATGGGTAGAATCAGATTAAGTTTGAATCTATTTAAATTTAATTTAATTTTTTTATTTTTTATAGTTATTAATCTAATTAAGTTAGTAAATTCTATATGAAGGTTTGATTTTTAAAGTAAAATATATATAATTTTATTTTTATTAAGTAAAATAAAGATTTAATTAAAAATATAAAAAGTTGAGTATTATTACATTTATCTTTAAATATTTAAAGAGTAACTATATTATTATTTTGATAGGATATTTTTTAGTTTTTTAATCATAAACCTGATTTAACGCAATCTATTCTTAAAAAAAATTCAATTCAATCTTGTGACTGGAACTTATGACGTGAACGCAGTGGGTGAACCGTCGTGTCAAGCAAAACACCAGCATTGAGTTTTGGTTCGTATAGAAGAATGTATTCTATTGATATACTGCAATGGAAAGTTGGAAACCCAAGCAGCCCGACCACCAAGCCATCGCCCATGGCGGTAAAATCTAATAATCACATGAATTGTTTTGGGCCCTATATTTAGACTTTATCTTCTTGTTCTTGAATAATTGGTGGGCTTGCTTCTTTTTTTTGTCACGAATTCTTTAAAACAACAAACCAAGTAAAAACTAAAAGCAAAGCAACGATCCCAATGTGATCTGACTGGATAACCCATCATCAGACAATGACAGAAGGGCAGAAAAAATCTGGTTGGCTCTTTTAGCTGCCGCGCACCATTTGCCACGAATCACCATCCATCTAAATATCACTAAATTTTAGCCATAAATTCAATTCCTTCCCCAGATCTTTTTTAACTTCTATTAAAAAACAATATTTTATTCTCAAATGATCAACTTGCCAGATTAAGATTCCCCCCCTCTCTCTCAGGATCAATCTCAATGTAAAGACTTTTCATTTTCCTTGATCTAAAGTATCTCCTTTCATTTATGGTACTGTGATCATTCTGCCAATTAAATCGAAAACCAGAAGCCAAAAAGAATTCCCTCCATGAAATTTCCCAGGTAAACATATAAGCTTACGTAGATATCATTAATCTTGTCGAAAGTGATGGGTGCCCATCTCATGCTTTGTATTTGTCTGTTATGTTGCCTTTGTTGGGCTTACTTAAGGTTATATTCGGAGATATTTTCTGCGTATTGGTGTCACAGTTGGATAAGAATGTGGCGTAGGATTGATAACGAGCTTCAAGCTGCTGGCGTGTCTGGATTTTGACAAGTTGCAAGATTCCAGCGGTCTGCCGTCTCCTCTCTGATAGCGACCATGCTTCTGCTTTAGTTTTAACCCCAAAGTTTATCACCTATAAGGAACTATTTTTAGAGGATTTTAGTCTTGATTTGCATTCTAACGTGTTTTTTTAGATTGATTAGTTACCAGTAAGATAGTTATTTTCTTCCTTTAATCTAAACTTCATTCCTTTTTTTCATCAGAAAAAGAAGGCGGTGTGTGATATCCCCCTCGCTATCTCAGGTCCTATGAATAAGGCTGATTTTTCTGGTGGAAGTTCCAAGTAAGTGGAAAGTATTGGTTTTTTCGGAAAAAGAATGATGGAAAAGAAAGAGAAAAAGTTCCTCACGGTCGCTCCCTTCGAGTGTGCTTGGATAAAGGATTTGAAATTCCGGGAAGCTGGCAGAGGATGTGTAGCATTCGATGCTTTCGCACACAATGATGTTACTGTGGTGTTTAGGGAGAATGTTGGAAGTCAACACTACCATTACAAGAGGGATAACTGTCCTCATTATACTGTGATCATTGGTAGTCATAGGAACAGTAGATTGAAGATTGAGGTTGATGGGAAAACTGTGGTTGATGTTGTAGGGATTGGTCTATGTTGTTCTTCAGCATTTCAGAGTTATTGGATCAGCATCTATGATGGATTGATTAGTATAGGAAAAGGAAGATACCCTTTTCAGAATCTTGTGTTCGAGTGGCTAGATACAAATCCCAATTGTAGTGTTCGGTATGTGGGACTAAGTAGCTGGGATAGACATGTCGGGTATAGAAATGTGAACGTATTGCCCTTGACGCAAAATCATATGTTGCTGTGGAAGCAAGTTAATGGCGAATACAATGGAAACGATGATGAGTTTGAAGATCAACAAATGGGCCATGATAAGTGGGGACTTCAAAATTTTCTTGAGAGTTGGGAATTATCTGATATGTTGTTCGTTGTTGGTGAGGAGGGAAGGCCTGTCCCTGCTCATAAGATTATATTGCAAGCATCAGGGAAATTTTCTCTGAGTTCATCGCATGGTGATGTGGTTCAGCTACAGCAGGTAGCATATCCAATTCTTCATGCGCTTCTTCAATATGTATATGCAGGCCAAACACAGGTATTTACCATTGTTTCCCTTGCAGCCTCATGATCTATGTTTTTGTCATTTTCTATCACTTCAGAAATCCTGTTTCTCTCGTCTTAGTTTTTGTCATGTCTTGCTTCTGTTTGACAAAGATTTCAGAGTCACAACTTGGTTCATTGTGGGCTTTGAGCTCACAGTTCGAAGTGATGCCACTGGTGAAGCAATGCGAGGAAGCAATGGAGCGGGTTAAAGCGAGCAAAATGTTGGACTCAGGTGAGACTGTAGAGTTATCATATGCAAGTTCTCATATCCATTCTGGAGGAAATTTCTGCTGTGGGCTCCCAATAAACATTCAGAGACTCCAGCAATTTCTTTCAACGGGCGAGTACAGTGATATTAGTATTTACATTGAGGATCAAGGTCTCATTGCTCGGGCTCATAAAGTCATTCTCGGCTTATATAGTGTCCCATTCGCGAAGGTAGGGATCTCATGCCTTCTATGGATTAATGCTGCAAGGTCTTATGCAGTTACGATATCTTGCCAACGAAATTTAAGTCTATTAAATGAAATACATTATAATTTTAAAAACAGAATAGTAGCATATACCATGGAACTTTTCTGAAGTTGTGTTCGGATATGTTTCTTATAGCTTGCCAAGATATAATATTTAAGGTTGGAAGTTTTGGGATAAAAATTTGTTTTTGTCTTGCTTTATCCACTTTTTCTTGTCTCCTATTCAATTTTGCTATTTCTTGTGGTTCTCAGTTTGGTTTTGTCAACAGTATTTTTACTAATAACATTTATTGCCTGCAGATGTTCACTAATGGAATGTGTGAGAGCAACTCAGCTGAGATTTGTTTGAGGGATGTAACTCCAGGAGCATTGAAGGCTATGCTTGAATTCATGTACTGCGGGAAACTCAGGATCGAGGATAACGAGGACTTCGGTACCTTGTTACTGCAGCTCCTCCTATTATCTGACAAATTTGGAATCACTCTTCTTCATCAGGAATGCTGCAAAATGCTTTTAGAATGCCTCTCAGAGGTAGTTTACTAATCTAGAGCTTTTGAAATAATTTGATTTGGTCATTTTGTCAGATCCATGCAGATATGTCTTGTTGCCAATGTCTTATCATGTTTTTCTGAATGAATAGAATTAAAAGAGCAGAGAAGTGAGTTGCGGTTTTGGAGTTCTGAAAACAAAAGAAGAGACCCGTTTTATAATAATGTATTATAAAAATATTGATATCTTTCATGTACATATACATGCAGGGATGGAATTCTAGTGGAAGTGGTCATACAACAAGTTTTTCTATTTTGCACAAGTTTAATGGAAGAGGAAGCAGACAATAGGGCTTATATAATTAGTTGTGCTGCAGATGTTCACAATAGGATGTTGCTTGGGAAGCTAACCCTTGAACTTTGTTTCAGGACTCTGTCTGTCCAATACTCCAAGCGGTTTCTTCAATCCCTTCGTGTAAACTTATCAAGGAAACTTGTGAAAGGAAGTTTGCCATGCACTTTGACTACTGCACTACTGCAAGCCTTGATTTCATCTCTTTAGATGAGACAGCATTTAGGAATATTTGTCAGGTGGGTCTTTGCATGCCAAAACTCAAATGTTATCTTAGCTTTCTTATGACAAGGCCAATGAGCTCTATTCTTCTGTGCATAGAATCTAATTTCGAACACGAAGGCCGAGAAGCAGTGTAGTAATGACTTTATGCTGCTATATTTTATGTGGCTAGTCAGTACTCAGTTATATATATAGCTGTGTAGTGGTTTTTGATTATTACATTGCTAGAATTGGGACTTTTTAAATTAGAACCATCTTTGGGTTGGTTTATGCAAGTTATAATCTAGATATAGAGTCACATATGAAGTGTACCAAAGATAGGTTTCCTTATTTATTATTATAAATTTATGGATTTCTTGCAGCATCCAGATCAAACGGTAACATCTGAAGAAAGAGTTCTCGATGCAATTTTGATGTGGTACATGAAATCAGAGAGATTGTGTGGGTGGGAAGTGGTGAATGAGCTTATTACAAATTCAAATTTAGAAAGTGTGTTCGAGGATAGGCTCCAACTGATTAATGACTTGCTTCCATCAGTGCGGTTTCCTTTAATGTCATACTCCCTGCTTAAGAAGGTAATAAAACCCCGGATCTAACCTTATCTGTCAAGGAGTTATAAGATGTGACTATGGGTCAGTTCTCGACTGCTACTTTATTCATTGATGTTGCAGTTAGAAGATACCAGTCTAAGCAGGCAGATTCCTGCTTTTGGTGACCTTGTAAGTTCAATGTTCCTCTTCGGATATGCATTTTGGACATGCTTTAATTCTATATTTTGTTTCCTCCCTTGCTAATGTCTTAAACAAACTAGGTTAGGGAAGCCATTAATTATATAGAATGCGGAGCATCAACACATGCAAATGACAAGAAGTAAGTCTTCCTTTGTGCTTATGCATCTTGATATCTCGCTCATACTTGTACAGGCTTACATTCTGAATAAAAATGTCATTTTTTTGCTGAAAAAATGTCATTTTTTTTGCTGAGAAAATGAAAATTAAGATTAAAAATTCAACACATAAACAGTGAAGTAAAACTAAGTCCACTATAATCTCCTCTCTTTTTTAGGGTTTGCTAGGTTGCTTGCTGTAACCCTCTTTAGTCTGGCCATCAGGGCAGTTCGTTAGTCATGTTTTGTTCTTTCTGAAAGAGCTAATTTGAATCTTGTTTATTAAGCTAGACATTTTATGCAGGACTTTTAGATATATCTGCATTCCTTTTTAAATTGATTTCCAAAGGGCCTGTACAGCATGGCATAGGGGCAGTATTCTTGAGCTTGACTAATGCGAATTTCTATCTTGTGAAGTGTAAGGTTTCAACATAGGCGTTCCAGTTATAAGGAGCTCCAGTATATATGCGATGGGGATAGCAATGGAGTTCTCTACTTCTCAGGGACATCATATGGGGAACATCCATGGGTTAACCCTGTTCTGTCCAAGGTGAAATACTCTATCAATCCTGTCTGGTTTTGCATTCATAACACAGTTACTGTTCCTTAACCTATCTTTAACTTCTTGCTTCAGAGAATTATTATTACACCTAGTAGCCCTGCTTCAAGACACACTGACCCCAAATTTTTGGTATCAAGAACTTACCAGGTATGATGAATCAAACCTTCTCAAAGGTCTCCACCACAAGTATAAAGCACAATGCATGCATTATTTTGCTTAACCAAATGATGTCTTGCTTCAGGGAACATGTTTTGCTGGGCCTCGTATGGAAGACGAAAATATCTGTGCATGGTGGATGGTTGACATTGGCCAAGATCATCAGGTTCCTACTCTGTTCTCGTATCTCTCGTACTGTAAGAGCATTCGTTTAGTTGTATTAAGTTTTTGAGTATGCAAGTTCCAGGTGTCTTTCAATCTCTTCCAGGGATAGAATGTACCAGGATTTATTTGATTGTCCTCGGCTCTACTTTTGAGTATAACTGTTGCCAATTTCTTAGATAACAAATGACAAATGTGATCAATGCAGCTTATGTGCAACTACTACACATTGAGACAGGACGGCTCCAGGGCCTACATAAGGAATTGGAAATTTCAGGTAATGAATATATATATATATAGAGGCAGGATCCGTTCGCATCGTATAAATTTTTTTAGTGTTACACATTTTTAAGATTGTTGGATGAGTGAAAATAAACGATTGAGATTAACTATCTTGACTTTCCAGGGTTCTATGGATGGAAGGGCTTGGACAGATTTGAGGGTGCACGAGAATGACCAAACTATGTGCAAGCCCGGTCAGTTTGCATCGTGGCCTGCAAATGGACCAAATGCTCTGCTTCCATTTAGATTCTTCAGGGTTCTACTCACTGGTCCAACCATGGATGCCTCGAACCGCTGGAACTTGTGCATTTGCTTCTTGGAGTTGTACGGTTACTTTCACTGAATTGAATTAATTATGTGCATCTATTTGAGCGTTGTCCAATATCAAGTTTTTCTTCTCGTTTAACCCATCACCATGCACAGTTTCACCAATAAAATTTATGTAGTTAACATTTAGGACTGAATTTACCTTAAAAAAGTTTCATGCCACTCGGAACAATCACTTGACTCTGCCCTCTATTCTGGGCCTTGTATCTGTTTCTGGTGAAAGGCACACATGCTAAGTTACCTCGAACAGATATCGATAGAAAATGCTACTTGGTTGGCAATTCCATGTAAAAGTATGTTGTCACGAGCAATTCGCCCATATGATATACATATAGTAATGACAACGTTGGTGTCATTTCTACACTCGAAAATAGACCCAACATTTTATATATAGAAAATAATCGTATTTTATTTATTCAAATTTGTATATTTAAATTAAACTCATTGATGTAGTTTTTAAAAATGATTTAAGTCAACATGAGAACAACGTAATTTAATATATATAATATATTATTTTTTAAGATTAAAAAAATACATAAATTTATAATAATATTATTTTGTAAAATAAAAAATAGCATCTCAATAAAAAGAGTAACAAATTACTCTCTTCATATAATACGCAAATGAAAAAATAAAATAAATGCATTGAAGTGTTTTCTTTGTTCGACTCAATGTTACGTTCGTTTATTTTGTTTCAGTTGCAATCCGCGTTTTAATTCGAAGACGCATCATCTTCAACACGACCGGAATCGGGTTGATGTGAACCCGCCACACCAATCAAGCTTGCCAGGCTGGCAAAAGCCAAAAATGAGTGTAGAAACTCCAAACCATTAATCTCCGCATCTTCCAAATTTCTCCGATCACCGTCACTGCCTCCTGTCTCCACTGTCTCGGCGGGCATCAAAAACCGACAAACCGGGCACGACCCATGGATCTGCAACCACTTCTCAATACAATCGGAATGAAACAGGTGCTTGCATGGCATCTCCCTAGCTTCCTCATCAACTTCAAACTCTTCCAAACAAATACTACAATCGCTACCACTCCCCTTCACTTTTATCCTCGGCATTGCTTCTATGGAAGCTTTTGACGCCGGCGCCGGCCCAGGTTTATTGCCAGCGTCCGCTCCACCGGAGCCAAGGTGGAAAACAACGTAGAAGACCGGACGAGATTGTTGGGTTTGGATGGGAGCCTCCGCCATGCCAACGTAGGAAAATTAAGGATTTAATTTTTTTTTTGGCAGATTAAAATAAAAGAAGAGAAGGTTTTTATAGAGGAGAGTTTCTGAAGATTCCAGCTTCCAGGATGTTGATGATGTACGAACTTAGCTTTCTAATTTCTATTTTACTATGTATTTCATCCTAATTGGTAAAGAACCGTTATATTTTAATATGTATAATTTAAATTTTCTATATTTGAATTAATCATATTTTAAGATATTTATGTATTATTTTGAATTGGAAAATCCACTCTTGGGGCGGATATACTAAAATTAAGATAAAGTAAAAAGCTAAAAAAATATCAACATTTTCTTAAAATGAAACTGAGAAACTTCATTCAGCAAAAGGAATCTAAAAGCTGAATGCCAATATTCATATTCATAGCATAAAATCCATTAAAAATCTAAATGGATGCGCCAAATTTCTTAAAAAAGCCTAATTAAAATCCAATTTCCAATTTTCAGACCCTTCTAGCAACTCGTATAGCCGTAGTTTTGCTTGCAGTTCCAATCACAGACACCGAGGAGTGGTAATTATTGACAGCAAGAGGAGGCTTCTTATTATTATCATCTTTGGTCTTGCTCATGCTTCGGAGAGAATACCTGGGAGTCTGAATCTCATTCCTCTCCACGGAATAAGCAGCAGACACCGACTTCCTCAAGCTCTCGAGCTTCTTCGACTGTATTCTCTTTGAAGATTCAATGGCAACTCCAAGTCCAAGATGCTTCCCACTCTTCGACTCTGTCCCTGTTTCGCCTCTCCTTCTCTTCAACCTCTCGTTTCTCCTCGCCGAGTACTCCTCGTAGAACCTGCCTCTCTCGAACAGAGTAGTCGAGTTTGCGCCGAGACTAGTCTCGCTAAAGCCAGTGTTCTCCGCTCCCCCGTTTCCAATTTCACATTTAACCATCCTAGCCAGAGCACGTAACTCGCTAGAAATGGACAAATATTCAGGTCGAATCTCAGATTCTTCACTGCTCCAAGCACGAACCGGCTTCTGGGATTTCGTCAAAGAACCTTTGAAAACAAACAAGCAAACATTTATTCCAAAAAACTGAAAACTGAAATGAAATTACGAGTCGCAATATGAGCTTTAGCCGTAAACACCTGACGGGGTCTGCAGGGAGGTTGAGTTTGAACCGAGGACGCGACGAGGTCGTAGGCGGATAGGCGATTTAGCAAGCGGAGGCTTACCACCATATCTCGTTTTCGACATGGTATCTTCAGCTTTACCCTTTTACAGAGAACTGGCGGAGATTCAAACAGAGTATAAAAGGGCTGAGAGGGTAGAGATTAGAGAAGAGCGTAGGGTTGAATTTTCAGACTTTGATTACTTTCCTTGGGTGTTGTTAATTTGAAACTTTATTGATACAGTATGTCGGCTATTTTATTGTGAGAAAGTGACGTTAGGTTTTAACTTTTCAAATTGCAAGGGAATGGGAGATAACTGATAAGGGAGCGTTTCAAACGGTCATATCTTGTGATCTGACGGTTCACAATAATTTCATTTCCAAGTGGTAACTGACATGTCACTTTCCATGCATAAACAAGTACACGATTTAATCAATAGACACAGCCCATATCCATAGTACATACGTAGCCCGCCAAGATCCATACTAAAATGACCCAAAATAAGTAGCAATCCACTTTGGCCGAATGCAACGTGTAGAATAAATTTTTTTAGGTAAAATTTTATTATTAATGTTTTGGATAAAGTATTTAGAGACAATAAAATTATATTTAAAAAAATTATCATTATATTTAAAAAAATTATAAAAACAATTACTAAATTTATATTATTATAATATAATTATTGTGGTGAATAAGAATAAAATTTTAATAAATTAAATAACTATTTTATAATAACTTAATAATATTTTGTGATCATTTTATAATAGTTCAATAAAATTTAATGATAATAAATTTGATAATTATTTTTATGGATTTTAAAATTTTAGTGTCTAAAATGATCGTTTAAGTATAGTTTAGTGAGCATAGTTTAATGAACTTTAGTGTACTTTACCCAATTTTTATATGAAAGTTATAAATTTAATTAAGGATAAAGTATACACAGGTTAAAGAATTATGTTAAAATGATTATTTTAATCATTAAACTTTCAGAAAAATTATAAAATGTCACTAAATTTATTGAATTGATACATATTGGTCACAATAACGTTGTAATAATTATAAAAGTTTGATTCATTTAATGAACATTCTGTGATAATTTGATTATTTTTTTTGATAATTTGATAAAATTTAATGAACATTTTGTAATAGCTTGATAAAATATATTGATTATTTTTTAATTGTTTAATAAACTTTTAATAATCATTTTATAATTTTTGAAAGTTCAATGATTAAAATGATCATTTAAGCATAGTTCAATTATCTCTTGTGTATTTTACCCTTTAACTTGTATATTCTAATTTGATTGAATTCAGCCTTTAAGTTTTTTAACTTTGAAATTTTAGTCACGATCTAAATATTTTATGGATTACATAATTAAATAAGAAGGAATTAAAATAATCAAATTAAAAAATAATAATTAAATCTATAAAATATATAAAATATGTAGACTGATAATAGAATTTAATTTAATAAATTCCACCGTTATTATCAAAATCTACTAGAATCAGATTAGTTCAAGTCTTTAAACCGTCCATAATATTATTGTTTTGTTGGATTTAATTTTCGATTTTTCGATGTTAAGGTTTTTAACATTATTTAATAAAATTTTAAGTGTTTTTTCTTCGTAAATATTTTTTAAAAGAATTAAGTTTTTTTTTCAAGTAAATAAAAACAATTAGTGACTCTTATAAAATAATATTAAGTTATTTTCATTACTATTAAGTATAAAATATTTATTTTCAAATTATAAAAAAAATATAACTTTTTTAAAAATTAGTTTGATTCAATCTTTAAACTTGTAAATCATAAATTGTTCAAACATTGTGAGCCAATGTACCTTAAACGCGCCAATCGGAAAATGAATAAATCAAAGTGAAATAATCCAAAATGTCTCCTAAAACACGTTTCTAGTTTAAACCAATATGATTAAATGATATGAACCACCTAAAACAAAATATATGAGGATCGGAAAGGTAAAACAAACGAACCAACAGCTACTCATGATTTTGAAGTAGGAGGCTTGTCGGATTGGTCATCGTCTTGACGTACCGATGCCCCGAAATCAAGGGGTGGATAGACACCAGGCGGCCTCTCTCTAGGTTGTATCGATAGCAACTGGCTTGAGTCGCCCACCACATCTGCCCATCCATAGTGAGGTTCACTACTGAAACAAAATGCAATAACTTGTCAGATTTGTACTGCAAACTACTTCTATCTTTGCAATAAATACTACAACGTACTCTTCTTTCTCATGTTTACACACACAAACAGAAAATCGTTTGCAACCGTTGAACTAAGCCAAAAGCTGCATGCTCTTACTCGTAATATGTCTCCTCATCAACAACAATATCCCAGCTTTCACCAGTTGTGCTCTTCCCGTATTTGTGAACTTTTCTGTATATGATGGAAAGCACATTAGTCCTGATGATGCATCTGAGTGAAATACATGATCAAATAAAAAGGCCTGGGTCCAAATTTTAATCACAAAATAATTAAAAATAAGAACATGGGCACTTAAAACATGCAAATTCTAGCTTATTACATCAACAAGTTTTAGGGGTTTTAAGTGATGTTTCGTACCCATTTCCAAAATGCTCCTCACCCCATTTTCTTGACCAGCCTGCAAGTCCAAGCATATCTTTGTAACAAGGGAAAAAAGGATAAAAACAAATAAAATTGGACGAACAAAAAACACAAATATGAAACATCACATCACTTGAACTTTAAAGAGGAATTTTGGGCAAATATTCCTTAGGTCGCCTCTATATGCCTAGTCACGTAAACATAATAGGAAAACAAGTATCATATAATTACCCAGCCTTTACATCCAGTGTTGATCAATTATACCAGCCTTGTTACAGCTTACTACAATTAAACAATTCATTTCAGTGTAAACTGATTTGAGATCTTCCACAGGTGTTTGCCTACTGAAATATGGTGTGCTCATGCTAAAGTGCAAACTTTGGAGAAATATATTAAGATAGGTTTCTTTACTAAGGATAATAGGGCTAATATATTATGTGCAACCTAAACCTGAAACCAAACAACTTTGTGAAATTATGCATCACGATTGACATGCAGATAGAATGAAATGACTATACATACGTTCGGCACTTGGAGATACATGCCATGTCTCCCCTTGACGTGAGCCAATACCAGCAAAGAACCTCTCTTCCCACTTATCTCCCCATTTAGTTCCCAATTCAGTCTCAGCCCATTTATCCGTCCTGCATATTATAGAAACATAAGTTTTAATATAATAACCATAGCAAAGTGCTTGACGTGGGATGGCCTGACCAAATATGAGAATATAAAGAGAAGGAAATTTTATTATCTCAATATCAGTTAAGTTTTAATATAATAATCACAGGAAGGTGCTTGAAGTGGGATGTCCTGACCAAATTTGAAAATGCAAAGGGAAGGAAATTTTATAATCTCTACATTGGTTCAAGTAATCATATGAAGACGATAAAAAAATGCTAAAAAAATTTCCAAGAATCTAACGTTTCAATCTTTCCAGATAAAATATGGAATGATATAGTTTCTGTCATATTACCATATGACTATAGTAAATTGATGTAAATAAGATCATGAGTGCAAATTACTAATAATAAAATTCTAGTAATGCACTAGTCCACTGAATGTTTCTGCATAAAGGCTATTTGAAACTTACCATTTGAGAACAGAACCACTTCCATCATAATGTTCTCCCCACTTTTCCCACCAAGACTGTTCGTTCAGTCTACCATACTTATGTGCCCCTTTTTCTGTCCAGCCTTTAGCATCATACTTCTCCCACCTAACAAAATAAGTTTATCACCGTATGTACTGATAATAAGAATACTAATATGGATGAAATTTAATACCATGAATTTCATACCATTTCTCATACCAACCAGCATTTTCACTGCCTGATTTAGCTTGCTTCTGAGCACTCCTCTCTATCCTTGCTAAATTACTGCAGTTTCAGAGATAGTAACTATTGTACTGATTATAAATTGCAGGCATGATAAACTGAAAATATCCTATTTGTCAACATATGATAATTTATGGATTTAATGTTAAGTGTTTCCTGCTAAGATGAATGATGGGGAAATAAAGACCTCCATTCATCTTGATGAAGAACCTCTTGCCAAGTTTCCCACCATGAATCTCCTTCAGCATTTCTTCCTGATTTCTCAACCCCTACGAGATACAAAAAAAGTTAGTCATATCTATGCTCAGATGAATTTAGATCAGTTAAGCAAGAAACCATGTAAATTTACCACAATTCAGTTCATAGAATAAAGCAAAGAAAAGCTAACTGAAAGTACCTAGCTCTTTGTATCCACTCCAGTCACTTTTCTCCCACCACTGTCAAGGAAATCAATAAATCCAATTAACCACCTGGGATGTTACTTAATATGGTTATAAACACAATGTTGAGAAAGAGAATAAGAAAATCATTACTATTTTCAAGCACTTTTGAGATTACATTCTCAAAATTTTTAAAGTTCATCTTTCTTCCTCAATTTAATTAAACATTAAAAGTCATTAACACCATTTGGGTGCCTTGATCTCTTAAGCTAAAGACCCCTGAAGATTTCTTGAGTTAACATAGCCTCGAAGAAAGGGGATTCACTATCCCAATATGCCAGAACCCACATCCAAATCAAACGAAAATAAAAACAGAAACTGGCTGATCAATCTTTGTTGCAAAGCACAAAAGAATTTTCTAACTGAATTTGAGTGTTCCATTTAAGTTATACTAATAACAAATATAAACTTCACATAATGCCAATGAATATACTGATAATTTTGAATACAGAAAGAGATGGCACGCATGATAAAGATCAGAAAACAAGGCTGGCAAATTAGCAAATTTCGCCATTCACCATGCAGAACTTAAGATTACATTAGAAATCATAGCAAATGATGTCCTCTTAGAAATCTCTTCCAAGTTACAGAAAAAGCAGAAAGAAATTTCTCCCTAGAATGAGTTCTCTTAAAATGATTGATTTTAAGGTTTTTTACAGTGATGAACACAGCACCTAATTGCTTAAATCTACAGTCATAAGCCCATGTTCATTCCATATCTGAAAGAACAATGGAATGGCTTCTCAGTTGCCACTTTAAGATCAACAAAACTCGTAAATAAAAATGTCATATGAAAAGAATGATTATACCGTTTCCTTCCATTCAGAGGAACCATCATGGGATTTACCACCCATCCTTG